AGGGAAGGGAAAGAGAGAGGGAAATATCAATGTATGGTTGCCTCTCATGTGTTCCCTACTGAGAACTGGCCCCTGCTAGGAACTGGCCTGCAACCCAGGCATGTGCCCCGACTGGGAATTGAACCGCGATCCTTTGGCTCATAGGCCCGCGCTCAATCCACTGAGCTATACCAGCCAGGGCTCACTGTTCATATTTTTTATCTTCTTTTTCTTAGATAAGTCCCTTTAATATTTCATATAATAAGGGCTTGGTGATGATGAACTCCTTGAATTTGACCTTATCTGAGAAGCACTTTATCTGTCCTATTCTAAATGAAAGCTTTGCTGGATAGAGCAATCTTGGATGTAGGTCTTTGGATTTCATGACTTGGAATACTTTCTTCCAGCCCCTTCTTGCCTGTAAGATCTCTTTTGAGAAATCCACTGACAGTTTGATGGGAACTCCTTTGTAGGTAACTGTCCCCTTATCTCTTGCTGCTTCTAGGATTCTCTCCTTCATTTTAATCTTGGCTAATGTAATGATGATGTGCCTTGGTGTGTTCCTTCTTGGGTCCAACTTCTTTGGGACTCTCTGAGCTTCCTGGATTTCCTGGAAGTCTATTGCCTTTGCCAGAATGGAGAAGTTCTCCTTTTTTATTTGTTCAAATAAGGTTTCCACTCGTGACTGTTCCTCTTCCCCTTCTGGTACCCCTGTAATTCAGATGTTGGAGCGTTTAAAGATGTCTTGGAGGTTCCTAAGCCTCTCCTCATTTTTTTGAATTCTTGTTTCTTCATCCTTTTCTGTTTGGTCATTTTTTTCCTCTTTCTTGTCCATTCCTTTTATTTGAGTCCCAGTTTCCTTTCCATTGTTATTGGTTTCCTGTGTATTTCCATTCATTTCAATTAGTTTAGCCTTCATTTGTTCCTCTAATTTGTGACTAAAATCAACCAGTTCTGTGAGCATCCTGATCACCAGGTTTTGAACTGTGCATCTGAAATTTTGGCTATTTCATCGCTTAGATTTATGGGCTCTAGGGCTCTGAGTTGTTCTTGAGCCTTGTTTTGCTCTGTTCTCGCCTGTTAGTATGAGGAGCGGAGCCTTAAGTGTTCACCAGGGTGGGACCACCCAGGTGACTGGGTTGTGATGCTGTATGTGGGGACGGGGTCAGAGAGGGACAACGGAGGTCCCCTCTGCTGCTTCCTGCTACTGGGGCCTGCATGGTCTGTCTCACCGCCAACTCCTTCAACGGTTTATCTGTGTGCGAATGTGTGACTGTGGTCAGCGGTCAGTGAGTCCACTGCCTTGTGCCCTCAGTGGGTCCACGCACTACTCCACACCTGGGATCCACCCATGGTTGCCTGCGCACCTGGGTTGCATGCCTGGGTCGGTCCAGTAAATCTTTCCTGCCTGACCCTGCTCTGCTGCTGGCTCTGCCTCTCTTACCGGATTGGCTGAAGGCTTCGTTGTTGTCAGACTTCTGTACAGTTCACTTTTCTGTGGTTTGGCTGTGTTTTTGTTGCTAAAACTTTGTTGTTTTTAAACTTGTGAGAGGAGGCACAGTGCTTCCACCTATAGCTCCATGTTGGTGGAAGTCCTGTTTATTTATTTTTAGGGAGAGAGGAAGGGAAGGAGAGGGAGGGAGAGAAACATCAATGTGTGGTTGCCTTTCACGTGCCTCTTGCTAGGGGCTTGACCCACAACCCAGGCCTTTGCCCTGACTGGAAACTAAGCTGCTGACCCTTTTGATCATAGGCCTATGCTCAGTCCACTGAGCTACACCAGCCAGGCCTGGGCAGGTTCTTCAGAGTCACTTGGGATGGTCTCTGTGATCATATCCAAGAGCATATATTCAGCTTGTAGAGCCTCAGAAAAAGAGTGTGTTAGTTCTCAGTGGTTCCAAACCAGAGGTTGAGAATCTGGGAATGGTTCATTGTAGAAATGTGACTGACATTGAAGTAAACTAGAATAATTCAGGACTAGTCTCAGACTGGACAAATATGCAAGAGGAAACACACAAGGGTAAGAATGGTAGTGACCTCTCCTGTGGTCATTGCTGCCTTCAGTCAGGTCCCAGCAGGGCCCTAAAGGTGAGGGAAGGAGAGGGAACCATGAGGAAGTGTGCTCCACTAGGAGACGGCCTTCATTCTGAAATATATACAAAAACAGAAATATGCAAAATGTCTGTGAATAATGAGCGGTAGATAGTACTGTGAAAAAGAAACAGAAATTTGATTTAAATTAATTTATTAATTTGGACCTATGAGGCAGAGACACTGCATTTATATCTGCAACTATATCTGGGCCAACAGAAAAGGCTCTGAATGTTTAGGGGAAGGTTGACTCAACAAACCATTCAGTGACAGCCCAGAAACTGTCACATGGAAAAGCTACAGCTGGTTCGTTTGATGTGGAGGGAGGATTTCAAGACCTTAGGGGGACAGGAATGATGGAGTGAGTTTATCTTTTAAGTCCTGTTTCTCAATCTGGGAGTGTTCAAATGGAACACATTCCACCAGCACATTGACAAATACATTGTAGAGGAAAAACCAAAGTATTTGATGGCATTTGTGATCAATCTTCTCTTAAGGGAACACCTGGTATGGGAAACTGAAGTCTCTCAATGATAAAATCTAATGTGACAGGTAGGGAGCAGCCTCACAGGTGTGGGAAAGGGCTGGATAGATGACAGGGGGTGGAGGAGTATGAGATTGAGCCAAAAAAAAGAAAGAAAGATTCATAGACAGAAAATGTTTTCTTGATTGCTGGGTGCAGTGCGAGGAGGGTGGAGGAGCAGGGCATAGGTGTGATTTCATGATAAATCATCAAAGGGAAGACTTGACTAAAGGTAGTATACGCACAATAAAATGTACAGATGATGTAAAATTGTGCACCGAAAACCTGCATCATTTTGTTAACCAGTGTCAACCCAATAAATTCAATACAAAGCAAATAATCATCTGGGGTAAATATGGGTCCTGGTGTAGCAGGAGCCAAAGGGCCTCGTCCAATCACTAAACACTCAGAAGAACTGATCACCTCACAGACAGCACATCAAAGCCCCAGAAAATTAATCTGAACAGAACTGAGTTTTGGGGTTGGCTGATTAATCCTGGTTCTCCTGCAAGTGAAGAGAGCAACCCCCCCTCGCATTCCTACATGATCCGTGTAAGCAGAAATATTCTGGGGAAGTGAACAGTGGTGTAGCTGGAATCATACAGACATTCAGTCTGTCCTTTAACCAATATGCTGTCCTGAGACAGTTAAGTTTTTAATTCTTCACTGAAGGAATGACCTGATCCTCTAAACAAAACCGCAACAGACAACAGAACATTTCTACTGTCACCTTTCCTTCATCTTCAACAAAATGAGAGCCTTCACCAGGGTAACTGTGTATCGGAGAGAAAGCAGAGAAACAGATAACGCACAGACTATGGGACCCTGCTTTGGAACTGAACTTAGACTAGGACTCCAAAGTGTCAATGTGACCCTACACTAACACTAGGAGCTTTTGAAGGAAGATGAACAGTGGAATTTTAGGTCAGGACCATTTGCACCTGGGTCCAAAGGTCGTCTGGCCCCACTTGTCAGTGTTCCCTTGATCTAGAATGCGTAACAGAAATACATGTAGCAACTACAACATTCTCCAAACCTGTTTACTGGACACTGAGCATTATATGGTGGGAAAGTCTAAACAGGTGCCATGAGAACTGCCAACACCAGGAAACTAGTGAGTGACAAACATTATACACAGCTGTGTGGATGGAAGAGGTGTGTCCTCTACACACAGGGATTTAGAAGGTGCAGGGGTGCTGATTCCCACATCAACATTCCACTTCTAAGTAGACTTGTGCAAAAAAAAAAAAAACGGAGGAAGAAGAGAAGAAATAGAAAATGACAGTAAATGGAGGCAAACTGTAAGTATACGTGACTCACACTGCTGTGGCAGACACGTGGTTACCCTGGTTGAGCAACTTCAGCTCAGGCATCTCCTTGTACCCTCAGCACCAACTGATCTGGAAATGCCTTTCCAGTCATGTGGACCATAGTCACCAAAGTTGTTTTCACTCAGCTGGCCGGCCTGCACATCCCTTCAGTGTCCTACCTGGGGCACGTCCCCCTGTAGCCCTGTGTCCCCGCCTAGTCTTAAGAGGAACTGACTGCCTTTTCAATCCACAACACATCCCTCCTGCTGTTCCAGGTATGCAAGTGTACGATTTCTCTCCTCTGGCCAATATTCGACTTCATTTTATTATTATTTTTAAATATGTATTGATTTTTAGAGAGAGTATAGAGAGACAGAGAGAGAGACACACACATCAACTTTTTGTACAATTATTGACACACTCACAGGTTGATTCTTGAATGTGTCCTGGCAGAGGAATCAATAGGCGACCTTGGCCTATTGGGAAGATGCTCTCACCGCCTTAGCTGCCTGGCCAGGGATGGCCAGTATTGTAAATCAATACTTAAAAACTCCATTGAAACATGTTAATTTTACCAACAATAAAACTGGGAAAGAGTTATGCAGAAAGATCACTCTCTGTGGGCAAAAACCCAGGAGACACTTGTCTGTCATGTGATTCCCATCACAGTGAGACCTCACAGAGGAGGACACTGATAATCAAGTGGACAGCATGACACATTCTGTCCTTTCACTTCTACAAAACATATAAAAAAACACCACACACAAACAACAGACATTCTCACAGACACAGACAATAGTGTGGTTGGTCACAGAGAAAAAGGGTGAAGCAGGATGAAGAGACTAAAGGGGTCAAACCCCAGGTGACAGAGGGGATCAGACTTGGGACAGTGAGCTCGTACAGTGGGCAGATGTCACCTTACAAATTGTACACCCAAGTTTATATAGCATTAACCAAATGTACCCCAACCAATTTCACTCTAAAAAAAAATTAAAAGACCTTTAATTGGTCATCTGTGAATCAGAAGAAGAAGAGACGGTTTTTTATTTGAACAACAGAAATGTGTGTTTCCTCACCTTTTGTTCACTAAGGATCATATGTATCATCTCTTGAGAATTGGTAGTAAAAAGTGTGCTGTGTAGTATCACCATGGGACAGTCCATGAGGAACAGTGTCTGTGGAAAGAAAAGAAAATCAATGAATAAGCATTAAAACCCCATTTCTGCCTCCAGCGTCCAGCCAATCAGGACATCTAAGTCCTGGGCCACAGCAACACTTGACATGGGAGTGACGCCCACTGGGGCAGCCCATGGGCTTCCTGATCTCTAATTCCAGTGTCTGCAGTGACAGGAGAGACGTGCTGAGGACCTTCTGTATGGCTCACAGGCATATTCTTTATAGTCGTGAGAGAAGGTCTCAATGATCATATCCAAGACTGGAGATTGAGCAGAAGAGCTTCAAGAAAAGAGTTGTGTTCTCAGTGGTTCCAAACCAGAGGTTGCAAATCTGGGAATGGTTCATTGTAAAGATGTGACTGACACTGAAGTAAACTAGAATAATTCAGAACTGGTCACAGATTAGAGAAATGTGCCAGAGGAAACACACAAGGGTAAGAATGGGATTGACCTCTCCTGTGGCCTTTGTAGCCTGGAGTTAGGACACAGCAGGACCTTTAAGGTGAGAGACAAAGAGGTAACCATGCAGAAGTATGAAATAATTTGGAAGAACTGCATGATTTAGAAACATATACAAAAAGAACAATATGTAATATGTCTGCAAATAATGAACGGTGGACAATAATGTTAAAAAGAAACATAAATGAATGTAAATGATGTTGATTAATCTGGGCGCAACAGGCAGACTGTGCATTTACATCTGCAGTTATATCTGGGCCAACAGAAAAGGCTGTGAATGTTTAGAGGGTGGGTGACTTAAGAAAGTATCAGTGATGGCCCAGAAACTGTCACATGGAAAAGCTACTGCTCTTTCCTTTCATGTGGACATGGGAATCCAAGAGCTTAGGGGGACAGAAATGTTGGCGTGGGTTTGTCACTCAAGTCGTATTTTCCAATTTGTGATGTCCCCATGGCATACCCTCCACCAGTACATTTAGATCCATGTAAGAGAAGAAATGTAACATATTTGAAGGCCTCCACGTTCAGTCTTCTCTCGAGGCCACACCTGGCATAAGAAAGTGAAGACTCTCAATAATAAAGTCTAATGTGACAGGGAGACAGCAGGCTCACAGGTGTAGGGAAGGGCCTGATGGACGGTGATGGGATGCAGGGTGTGACACTAAGTACAAGAAAGAGGAAAAAACTTACAGAAACAGAGAACATTTTTCTGATCACTGGAGGGAGGAGGAGCAGGGGGAAGGAAGAGTGCATTCGGGTGATAAATGGTGGAAATGAAGGCTTGACTGAAGGTGGTAAATGCACAGTAATGTACAGATGATGTAAAACTGGGCACCAAAAACCTGTATCATTTTGTTAACCAGTGTCACCCCCAATAAATTCAATAAAAACACAAAATTGTGAGGGAATAAATTGGGTCCTGAGGTAGCAGGGGTCAAAGGACCTTGTCCAATCACTAAACACTCAGTAGATCTGATCACCCTAAGGGACAGCAACTCAAAGCACCAGGAAGTGACCAGAACTGAGCTGTGGGGTAGGTAGTTAATGCAGGGGCTCCTGGGTGTGAAGACAGCGAGCCCCGCATCCTATGTGACCTGTACAAGCAGAAGCATCCCAGGTGCAGTGCACAGTGGTGGAGCTGGAATCATAAGACACTCTGTGTGTCCCTCAAAAAATAACCTACACTGAGCCAGTGTAGATTCTTAGAATTCTTCAGTGAAGAAGGACCAGATCCTCTGGCCCAGTTTCCAAAAGACAACAGAACATTTCTATGTCAACCTTCCTTCACATCTGACTTCATCTCCAAGAAAATGACTCTTCATCAGAGTAATTGTGTTTTGGAGAGAAAGCAGAGAAGCAGACCACAGGACTCTGGTTCTGAACTGAACTAGGACTAGGAATCCAGAGTGTCACTGTGACCCTGCACCAACACTAGGAGCTTTTAGGGGAGCTGACCAATTTGACCAGTGGAGTTTTGATCAGGACCATTTTGAAGTTGGTCCAAATGTCACCGAGCCAAATTTGTCATTGTTCCCTAGATCTAGAACACATAGGAGAAATAGATGTGGCAGCTGAAACATTCTCCACACCTGTTTCATGGCAATGAGGGTTATATGGTGGGAAAGTCTAAACAGAAGCCATGACAACTACCCGCACCCAGGAAACTAGTGAGTCAAAAGCTGTGCACACACCTGGGTGGATTTAGAACATTCAGGACTGCTGATTCCCACCACAACATTCCACTTCTTATTGGACTTGTGAAGAAAAAAGAAAAAGGGGGAGAGAAACAAACTATAAGGAGAAGACAGAGGAGAAGAAGGAGAAAAAAATTAGAAAATGACAGTAAATTGAGGCAAACTGTTACTTCATGTGACTCTCACTGCTGCGGCAGCCATGTGGTTACCCTGGATGAGCAACCTCAGTTCAGGCATCTCTTGGTACCCACAGCACCTACTGATCTGTAAATGCCTTTCCAGTCATGTGAACAAAGATCACCACAGTTATTTTTACTGAGCCAGCAGGCCTGTATATTCCTTCACTGTCCCATCTAAGGACACCACCCCTCTGCAGCCCTGTGTCCCCACCTAGTCTGCTGAGGACCTGACTGCCTTTTCCATCCACAGCAGGTCACTCCTGCTGTTCCAGGAGGAGGATGACGTGAAGCTGGCTAGACCAGTGAGTGGGCACAGTGCTGCTAGGACATTCTGACAGACTCTGACAGTAAGAATTTTGCAACAGATCTGACTCAAGTTCAGGGTGTTCTCACTTAGTCTAACACTTACAGTCCAGTGATACTGAGCAGGACAGGTAACAGCTGCAAGGTAAGCAGTAATCTGTGGAATGCAGCCCCTCCTGCAACACAGGATGAAGAGGCCCAGCACCCAGGGGACTCTGATGCTGAAGGCAGCACATTGCTCAGCTGCGTCAGGGTCTCCAGCCCAGGTGTGAGGGGAGCTAAGAAGCTGCTCAGCTGGAGAGGGGCCTAGTAACACAGAGGGGGCTGTGGGACAAGGCAGTGACAAGACAAGACACACAGAGGGCTCTGGCACAGGGGCGCCAGCCCCAGCTGCCCTGTGACCTGGGCCATGTGTTGATATCGATTAGATGGTTCTACAAGTGTCACTGCCAGATAGAGGTTCTATTTGCATTCTGAACCCCAGGGAACACACTCAGCATTTTCAGCCAACTTCTTCACATCACACACAAATAACTGCTGGCCTCTGAGTGAAAACACATGGCTTTATTTTTTGAGTCAAAATTGGCAAATACGCTTCATGTCTGAAAAGGCAGCAACATGAGTGGGGCAACTACCAGCTTTTACTCAGAAATCATTTCCACCCAGTAAACTGGAATCTAAGACTCTACATCCTGTGTCCTCATGTCATGACTGAGAAAGAGTGTGGAGGACTGACCACAGTCTGCCAGCCCTCCAAGATGTCCTTACCTCTAAGTCTCCGAAAAGAGCAGACACTGGACTCAGATGCTAGGGAAGCTGATACTCAGGGGTCACTGGGCTCTGGAGACCTGGGCAGGAATTTGTATTCGAAAGGGTCCAATCTACAAAGGCTCCTGCCCACAGGGACCTGTGGGGAGGCAGAGCTTCCAGGCTCTGGCTGAGGTCCCTGGGGGCACCACAGGTGGACTAATCCCCTCTGAAGTTCAAAGCAGTCTGAAAAAAAAGATCAAAGATTCAGGGGAAGAAATTACCATTGCCCCTCCAAATGACTATGATTTGTTCCAAAGGGTTTCCTTGGTTTAAGAGGAGGAATGTTTGACCACAGGTCATCAGGTTACCATGGAACCTGAGTTGTCCATTGTGACCTGTTGTGATGTCACCCAGAGAGTCACACAGAAAACACACAGGGAGACCCAGCACCCACTCACTGTGGTCCCCACAGGACGGCCCCTGAGCAGACCCTGCAGGAGGGAGCAGTTGTGTCACCAGTGGCCCCAATGCTCTTGGAGCCCACCTTGTACAGTGTGTGACCCTCATCCTTGGCTTCAGGGGGGACCCTCAATGCTCTGTGCATGAGGACAAAGAATTATGGCTGGTTTATAGGTTTTTTTAGCAGGATGGGGACAAAATGTCAGAAAAGGAACAGCGGCAGCATGACAGGCAATCTGTGGATATTCTTGCAGGACAGAGGCTCAGGGAATCCCCACCAGGGGGGTTCACTTGATCATTCACTTCGCTAGGAAGGTTAATGCCTGGATGAGCCATGATAGGCTGATTCACCTTTCTGGACCCCAGTCTGTGTCAGTGTCAATGATCAGGGACCTGAGGGAATGTGATACAGAGCATGTGGGCACTGACCTCTGGTGGACAAATGGGTGTGGACTGGGCTCCTCAGTGGGCAGTCTCACCCTGAGGACCTTGTATCTCAGGCAATGCTGGGACAGTGTGGCCTTGGAAAGGGAGACTTCAGTTATCACATGGATAGGGGGACAGAATCTGTCATTTTACTCAGATGTGGGATATGACACCAAAAGCCTTGAACAGACAAAATACAAAAAAAAAGACAAACACACTCATAGGTACACCTATGGAATGGTAGACACTAGAGGGGAAGGGAGTGGAGCAGCCCAAAGAAGGTAGAGGTCAAATTCAACATAACGAATGAAGACTTTGGGGATGACCAGACAGAAGAGTATGTATGTACTGTATACATGCAGTTGCACGTCTCAAATTATATGATATTAAGCAATGTTACCCCCTTAAATTTTATTTTAAAACTTAAAAAGAAGCTACTGGGCTCTTATCTTATTTAAGAAGAGTGTAGACATGAAGTTGGGGTGAAGGAAAGGAACAAAAAAAGAATGGCAAACACACTCATAGGTACACACATGGAATGGTGGATAACACAGGGGAAGGCAGAGGAGGAGCACAACGAGGGTAGAGGTGAAATTCAACTTAATGAAACAGGATACGACTTTAAAAGGGAGCTAGCATTGGAGTATGTAGAAGTTGTATACATGCAGTTGCACACTGCATGTATAAAATGTTAACCAATGTTATGTACATGAACAACCAATTCATAAAATGTTATTAACCAATGTCATGTACATGGACAACAGTGTGGTGACTGCTGGGGAGAAGTTGGGGTGATGAAGGAGGTTATGGGGTATAAATGGTGATGGACAGAGACTTGACTAGGGGTGGTGAGCTCACAGTACAGTGTACTGATGAAGTGTTGTGCAATTGTGCACCTGAAACTTCTGTAATTCTGTCAATTTGTGTCACTCAATAAATTCCATAAAGAGGAAAAGAAACATACAACAATTTAAAAATAAACACATTCTTCTTCTCTTTTTTAAAATAATACAAGACTATTTTGTTTAGTTACCTTAGTTAACTATGTATCTGGTGAAACATCTGTTGAACTTGGCAGTGGAAAGTGTGTTGTATGGTGTATCCATCAGACATTTAATGTGGAAGAGTTTCTATGCAAATAAAAACATACAAAGATTAACAGTTGAAAAGGCAATTTATGATGTCAAAGAATACACAGTCAAGAAGACTCTAAATATCAGGGTGAGGCATCAGCAGACGGTGGTGGGAGAATAGCTAGAGGATCCACCAAATGTCCTTGGTGCAGTCTCAGCACCTATGGGGAAGGCAGGAATATTCTAGAATCCCTGCATGGTCTCCACACCACCTGGTCTGTGGGGCCACTGGGTCTGTGATCCGTATTCACAGGTTGCTGATCTCCTTGAAGATTCCACCTAACTGACCAGATTCAGCTGGAGAAGTTTCAGAAACAAAGTTTTAGTTGTCAGTGATCCCAACTCAGAAGAGAAGAGAGCAGAGGGTCAATTCAAAATTGTAACCACATGGTGATGAAAACTGGAATAATTCAGGACTCACCACAGATTGGCAAAATGTGCAGAAAATACACTCAAAAGAAAGAGCACTAATGGCCTCCCTGCAGCCAGGTGCCATGTTGACCAGGCTCAGGTGCCACGCTGAACAGACTCAAGTGCCTACAGGACCCTAAAGGTGAGGGACATGGACTGAACCTTGGAAACTATGCAACACTTTCTGAGTTTTCCAATGTATACAATGAGAGAAGAAGAATATGAGTGGGAATGCTTCCTTCCTGGTGGGGTATAATGGAACTGATAATGCTGGGGGACAGGTTCAGAACTGACATTGCTCCTATGACACCCAAAAGGTGACTGTGATCCTAGGTCAAGGCAAAGGCACTGAGGGTCAGCTGGCCAATGGGGTTCTGGTTCAGGTCTGTCGTGTCTATCCAGGCCCAATCCTGTCCTTGTCCCCTAGTTCTACAATGCAAGCCTGAAGCAGATGTAGGAGCTGAAAGATCCCCACACTGGATCAATAGGGAGTGAGGTGCTAGGGTGGGAAAGTCTGAACAGAAGCTGTGAGAACCCAGGAAACCCAGAACCCTGTGAGAACAGAAGCCCGCACCCAGGAAACCAGTGAGTCAGAAGCTACATATACACCTGGGTGGATGACAGAAGTGTGCCACTGTCAAGATGCAGGGGTACTAGTTCCCACCAATCTTCATTATATTCTTTATCTGCTTGAGCAATGACTGAATAAATAAACTCAGAATGACCGTCAATGATCACACAGGTCACCCACTTCCCACTGCCGTACAACGTGGAGTGCTGGGGAGCACACTCACACCTCAGCTGACAACTGTGTGCAGCTACTGACCTGGACACTCTCTTCTCCTGCACATGTATCCATCGTCTACCAGAGCAGTTTTGTCTCGGGTCACAGTGAGAAATTCATCCTCAGTCTCTCACCTCAGGGGCACCTCTGCCCCTCAGCTCTATGTCACTGTTTGTGTGCAGAGTCCTGGCTGTCTCTTGCCTGCAGAGGCCACCCCTCCGCTGCTCCTTTACAAGGATACGGTCACGCTTCTGGCACCCAGCAGTAGGAATAGTACTGCTGTGCTCTACAACGGACACCAGGAGAGCCAGAAGTTGTGTGGCAAATCTGACTAAAACTCAGGAGGCTCCTCTCCCTCAGGTAACATTTTCAGTCCACTGTGCCAAGCAGGACAGGTAACTACTTCACAGGAAATGGTCATTCATGTGGGTCTCTCTCTCTTGCAACCAACATGAAACCCAGACCCCAGCTGTCTCTGCATGTTGGACGTGGCCCCTTTCTCAGGACCACTTTCTGCATCACATGGTGCATTGACCTGAGCAACTGCTCAGTTAGAACTGGACCCAGGAAAATACAGGCTCTGTCACTGGTCCAGGTTGCTGTGCCAGGTGCTCTGTGACAAGGGCCGTAAGTTATTACAGTCATGACAGGGACTCTGTTTGGTGTCTCAGGAGGACCTGGAGGTGCATCACAGAGTGACTGTGCAGGACCTGGAATCGAGGACTCGCTCTCAGAGAAAAACAGTTGACAGCACCTTTGAGTAACAGCTCGGTATTTCTAACTTCAGTCATATTTGGCAAACAGAGTTCTTTCATCAAAATGAAGCCCCAGGACTGAAACCACCCTGGTCCTTCACTCAACCTTCAAAATCTATGTTCGGCAGAAACAAAGCAGATAGAGGACCCTGATCCTCTGTCACTGGGGTGTCACAACTGAGAAAGCCTGTGGAGGATGCACACAGGGCAAGGGCCCCTCCAGGAGGCCCTTACCTTTGCAGTCTCAGTAAAAACAGGGCCTGGGCCCAGTTGCTGGCAAAACTCATCATTGTTGGTCAGTTGGTTGTGAGAACATGGAGGACAAAAGTCCGATTCCAGAAGCTCTAAAAGACTGTGGCTCTGCAGGGACCTGGGTGAGGCAGGGGCCCCAGGTGTAGGCTGAGGTCCATCTGGACATCATGGTGCCTTCATGCCTCTGAGGCCCAACGCAGTCCCACCTCAGAGGGGCAGAAAGTCACAGGAAGAAGCTCTGATCACCTTTCAAAATGAGCTGTAATTTGTCCCACAGGGTTTCCTTGGTTTCAAAGAATAAGCACTGGACCATGGCCACCAGGTTTCCATGGATCCTTAGCTGCCCATTATGACCTGGACGTGATGTCATGCTCAGGAATATTATGACATGCATTAAAGTGGTACATACGCTATTGCACCTGGGCTAACACGTAGGGCACAGGTAAAGTATTTAATGAAGTGGCCCAGATGCCTTAGTCTTTAGTGTGTCTTTCCATCAGCCTGCACCTGTGGGCACATTGGGAGCTTCTGATGACCTTGGGCAGAGGAGGGAAAACTATGCTCTGGTTCCAGATCATTTAGTAAAACTGGGAGGCCCTGCCAGGAAGTGGATGGCTCCAAAGTGACAGGACATCTATGGGACATTCGTGAAGGACAGAGGGTCAAGAAAAACCTCCATGGGAACATGTGCCCCTTGCCATGAACTTTGATAGGGAGTGTAAGTGACCAGATATGCAGTTATGTGATTTCTATCCCCTGCCCAATATTTTACTTCCTTTTTATTGTTTTAAATATGTATTCATTTTTACAGAGAGACAGGATAGACAGAGACAGAGAGAAAAACAAACGTCAACTTGTTGTTCCATTTAGTGACACATTCACTGGTTGATTCCTGCATCTGCCTTAGCTGGGGAATCAATATGCAACCTTGGCCTGTCGGGAAGATGCTCTAACCAGCTGAGCTGCCTGGCCAGGGATGGCCAGTATTTTACATCAATACTTAGAAACCTCAAACAAACATGATAATATTGTTGGCAATAAAACTGGGGAGAGCTATGCAGAAAGATCTCTCTCTGTGGGGAAAAACCCAGGAGGCACTTGTCGGTCATGTGATTCCCATCACAGTGTGACCTCACAAAGGAGGACTCTGATAATCAAGTGGACAAGATGACACATTCTGTCCTTTCACTTTTACAAAACCTATAAATAAAAAACACAAACAACAAGAGATGGACTCACAGACAAAAAGAGGACTATGTTTGATTACAAGAAAAAAAAAAGATGAACAAAGATGAAGAGCCTAAAGGGGTCAAACCCCAGGTGACAGAGGGGATCAGACCCTGGACAGTGAATTCACACACAGTGAGCAGATGGGACATTACAAATTGTACATATGAGGTTTATATAACATTAACCAAATGTACCCCAACAAATTTCACTCTAAAGTAACATAAAAAACCTTTAGTCGGTCACCTCTGAATTAGAAGAAGAGATGTTTTCTTTCTCTGAGTAACAGAAATACATTTTTGCTTACTTACCTTTTGTTCACTGATTATCAGGCACATCATTAGTTTAGACTCAGCAGTAGAAGCTGTGCTGTGTGGTGTCAACCATCAGACAGACCATGTGTAAGAGTGTCTGTGAAAATAAAAGAAAATCAATGAATAACTGATAAAACCCAACTTCTGCTTCAGAGTCCAGCCAATCAGGACAACATTTCAGTCCTGGGTCACAGCATCACTCGATGCAGGAGTGAGGCCCACTGGGGCAGTGCCACGAGCTTCCTGGTCTCTAGGTCCAGTGTCTGCAGTGATGGCAGAGACATGCTGAGGAATTTCTGAGTGGCCCACAGAAATGATTGTGGACATGTTCTTTTTTTTTAAGAGTTTATTTTTAGAGAGAGGGAAAGGGAAGGAGAGAAAGGGTGAGAAACACCAATATGTGCTTGCCTCTACTTTGCCCCCTGCTAGGGGCCTGGCCTGCAACCAAGGCACATGCCCTGACTGGGAAACAAGCTGCTGACCCTTTGGATCACAGGCCTATGTTCAGTGCACTGAGCTACATCAGCCAGATCTGGACATGTTCTTTACAGTCACTGGGGTTGGTCTCTGTGATCACATCCAGGACCCCAGATTAAGCATGAAGATCCTCAGGAAAAGAACTATGTTAATTCTCAGTGGTTCTAAACCAGAGGTTGGAAATCTGGGAATGGTTCATTGTAGAGATATGACTGAGACTAAAGTAAACTAGAATAATTCAGGACTCACTACAGACTGGAAAATGTGCAAGAGGAAATGCACAAAGGTAAGAATGGCAGTGACTGCTCTTGTGGCTGTTGCTACCTTGGCTCAGGTCCCTCCAGGCCCTAAAGGTGACGGACAGAGAGAGAACCTCGAAGAAGTGTGTTCCCCTAGAAGACAACCTGAGTTTTGAAATACATATGAAATGAGAAATATGTAAAATGTCTACGAATAATGAATGGTGGATAATAAGGTTAAGAAGAAACATAAATTTGGTTTAAACAAATTTATGAATTTGGGCCCAGGAGGCAGGGACTCTGCATTTATATCTGGAGCCACATCTGAGCCGACAGAAAATGCTCTCAAGGTTTAGGGGACAGTTGACTCAAGAAACCATTCACTGTCGGCCCAGAAACTGTCACATGGAAAAGCCACTGCTCCTTCCTTTGATGTGGAGGAAGAAATTGAAGAGGTTAGGGGGATGGGAATGGTGCAGTGGGTTTGTCTTTGATGTCCTGTTTTACAATCTGGGAGTGTCC